ATATATATATATATATATATATATATATATATATATATATATATAATATGTTTAAGTGTTAGTGACTCGTAAAACAAGTTTAATAAGTCTTGTAGAAAAAGTTGAGTGTAATTTATTATTATGTGATTTGGTGTGAGAGTATAATTTGACTAATTTATATCTCATATGGTGTGATTACTTAAATTATTAGTTCAGTGTGAATGTGTGAAAAATCGTACTTTGTACAAAACTAAATTATAGAGCTAGAAAATTATATTTTATTTACTAAAATTTTGTGAAGTATATTTATATATAAATAATTTTGAGAATTTAGAATTAGAATCTGATAATTCTTTTTAGTAAATGTATATGGTAGTTATAAGCAAGCATAATAATATTTAATGGGACATTTCAAATAAAATAAAATAAAAACATATATTTTATGTATGAGAAGAGACTACCCACATATCTCCATTATAAAGTAAGAAAACAAATATTCTATAGAAAGACCCCGACATATAACAGAAGCAAAAACGCTTAGAAAAGAATTATCTAATGCATGTCAGACGATACGGGGAGATATCTATCATCAATAATATGGGTAGACATACAATCATGGAACATTAGACTATATGCATAAAATGTATGAAAACTCTTCTCCATACTATTTGATTTATAATTACTTTTAGAAGCATGTTAATATGATTCTAATAATACAAGTACAATTGTGTGGTTCTAATAAAAGCAATATAAAACGAATAATGTGATGAAAGGCACAAAGGAATGGTGAAAACATGTAAATGTACAAAGTAGAGAACATGATTCTATAATTTATTTTTATCTTTAAAAGTCTAAAACACAAAGGAACATAAATAATGTGAAAAACCTGATCTTCTTCCCACAATTGTTCAAGATGACAATCTGGCATTTCGAGTCTCACTAGATTTTGTGGGCAAAAATTCGGTGACAGAGACTTTTGTTGAAAACCAATCCAATAAAGAATCTTCAAAGTGTCTGGCAGACTTACTAGAGATGATTCAAGAAACACATTTGGATACCAAGAGTTAGAATAAGAATAGAACATAAGCATCCTAAGATTGTTCATCTTTTTGAAAGCTTTTGCATGTACTTTAACTTCTTCCATTTCGTTTATATCTTGTAATATACATTGTATTGCATCTGATCCCTGAAAGTATCAAAGCAATTAGAAAAAAAAAACATAAATGTTGCATTGCAAGCTATTTAATAACATCTCAATGGTTATCAATTTATCATAACATAAATCCATGTGACTCTTTCAGTTGAGTGATAATAAAACATACCTTGTTCTTTTTTAAAATCTCATGAATTTCGTCAGCCTTGAACAATCGGCTGCGTTTTCCAGGATGTTGAGGACACTCTTTACGAACAATTTCTTGACCCATTTCTTGTATTAGATCGTGCATCACAATTCTACCATCCAAGATAGATATGAGTCATTTATCTTTGAGAACATCCATTCCAATCTTAGAAGAGAAACCACACTCATTTAGTATTTCTGCTACTACAATCTCGTTGTGTCCTCTATAAAAGCAAGCGATGTCAAGAAATATATTTTTCTCCTCCTCACGGAGTCCATCATAACTTAACTTGAATACATTGAAAATATCATCATCTTGGCACTTCTCCAAGTTTTGCAACTGACTTTCCCATGCTTCTCTTTGTCTGCCATATAACAATGAACCCAAAATTTGGAGAGCTAACGGAATCCCTTTTGCATATTTTAACACTTGTACTGACAAGTCCATGTAAGTAATTTCTTCTGGAGAATTTTGTTTAAAAGCATGTAAATTAAAAAGTTTTAGAGAATCATAAAAATTCAACTCCTGAAGTTCGTAGATATCATCAGCTCCAGCATTCTTAAGCACTTGTCTATCTCTACTGGTCATAATGATTCTACTGCCTTGCCCAAAGCTATCATGTCTTTCCATTAATTTTCTAAGTTGAGTTGAATTTGTTACATCATCAAGAATGAGGAGGACCTTTGCTCGTTTGAGCCTTTCATTGGAATATGATAAATCAGTGAATGATGATGCTTCTTCCTTTAGAAGCTCAGACCGATATTTTGCTATGATATTGTGTATTCCCTCTCTTTGTAGTTTTTCTTGAACATCTAAAACAAGGCTGTGGGAATCAAACTGCACTGCCAATGTGTGAAATAATTGTTCAGAAATTGTACTTTTTCCCATTCCTCCCATGCCATAAATTCCTATGATCCGAATATCCGGTGACTCAAGATCCAACAAGGATCGAATTTCTTCAATATGTTTTTCAATACCGATGATTCCTTGATTATAACTGACGGAATAACGATTCAGTTTTTTCAAAATATCATCTATAATTTCTTCAACAAGAATGTGTTCTAACCTGACCCATGATTTACAAAATAAAATATAAGTATTCAAGTACAAAAACTAAACTAAATTAAAAAAATATCAAAGAGTAAAAAGAGTGAAGGATCATTGAATTGATTTATTTATGGATTCACGTTCTGAGTTCTAGATAAAAATAAATAAATTAAATGTCTAATAAATTAAAAGAATTTAATGAAAGGGTTGTATTGTACTACAAAGTTAAACTATAACATGAGATATGGTCAGATCTATGACCGACTAAAAGAAATGAAAAAAAAGAAATACTTGAACTATGATGAGATCAACATAATTTGAGTAGATGAAAAGAGATACTCAATATATCTGAAAAGTGGATGTAAGAAATATAATGACCTGATAACGTTTGAATCCCAGCCGCAGAGTTCAGCAGCTTCGGTTAGAGCATCCTTCCATCCTTGCACTTTGCCCATGTCTTCCTTAAACCGCAGTTCATGCTCTTCGAACGCTTCTTTGTATCTCTCTTCCTGTTTTCTGACAGTTGCTGGATGCACCTTGTAGAAAACTGGTATCACATCCCTTCCATATGTCTTCTTGCAGTCCAGTATTTTAGTCAGTTCATTTAAACACCACGTGGAAGATGCATAGTTTTCAGAGAAAACCAGGACATAGATCTTTGATTCTTCAATTGCGGTTTGCAGTGCAGGTGAAATTTCTTCGCCCCTTTGTAGTCTGTAATCAATATATGTTTCAATGTGCTTCCTCTCCAGCGCTGCATAAAGGTGACTAATGAAGTTCTCACGAGTGTCTTCCCCTCTGAAGTTCAGAAACACGTCGTACCTGGTGGGAGAAGCGGACGCAGCGAATGATGAAGAACTCTCTGCCATCGAAATCAATTTTCTCTCCTTTCTCTGCAACTCTAAGGCTCAGGATTCCAAAAATTTGTATACTCTCAATTACAAACGAGGGTATATATTTCTACCAATTCTACCCAAAGTCAATATCTGCTTCTCTGTCACATAATAAAAACCAAACCAACTTTTGGAGAGGCCATTTAATTTTCTCAAAATATCTGTCCATGGATAAAAAAAAATAATGATTATTTCACACACATAAATATTTTATATTCATTTTACACAATATTGAATCAATTGAAGAGTCACAATTCACACAATAATTATGACTCTAAATTTATATCGCTAATAGCTGCAGAAACTAAGGGACATACACCGTATCCTCTTTTCATGATAATAAAAAATAAATAAAACTAAAANTAGTCTGTAATCAATATATGTTTCAATGTGCTTCCTCTCCAGCGCTGCATAAAGGTGACTAATGAAGTTCTCACGAGTGTCTTCCCCTCTGAAGTTCAGAAACACGTCGTACCTGGTGGGAGAAGCGGACGCAGCGAATGATGAAGAACTCTCTGCCATCGAAATCAATTTTCTCTCCTTTCTCTGCAACTCTAAGGCTCAGGATTCCAAAAATTTGTATACTCTCAATTACAAACGAGGGTATATATTTCTACCAATTCTACCCAAAGTCAATATCTGCTTCTCTGTCACATAATAAAAACCAAACCAACTTTTGGAGAGGCCATTTAATTTTCTCAAAATATCTGTCCATGGATAAAAAAAAATAATGATTATTTCACACACATAAATATTTTATATTCATTTTACACAATATTGAATCAATTGAAGAGTCACAATTCACACAATAATTATGACTCTAAATTTATATCGCTAATAGCTGCAGAAACTAAGGGACATACACCGTATCCTCTTTTCATGATAATAAAAAATAAATAAAACTAAAAATTAAATATTATAATAATTATTATAATAAGAAATATTATTAAAAGTTATATAAAAGTTGTATAAAAAAATAATATAAAAAACGATCATAAAAATTAAATATTTTTATTAAATTTATACTTTTATATAATTAAAAAGATTAAAATCATATTTAACATTTACAAAAACTATGGGTAGGGTATTAATTATTTAATAATTTATTTTCCAATTTTATGTAATTTATTTTTACTACAAAGACATGTAATTGAGATTGAGTTTTTTAATTTACACTTTTTTTTCTTGTAAAGAATAATGGTTTCGTATAATTTTATTATTAAATATTTTGTATAGCCTTAAAAAAATCGTATATATATTATATAAATTCAAATAAATTGTCTTGAACTTGTCAAACTACACTTATAAAGAATGAACCATCAAGCGCCGACAGATTTTATAAGTCACCACTCAAATGAAACAAGGTGTCTCAAAGTGAACAAACCAAGAACAACAAATAACTTATTATATATCATCTTCACTCTTCCACGTTGGTTTTACAGCTCCATGTAACAAGTTGGTACATTAAAAGGTTAGTAAAAGCTTTTTCAACGTTTACTTTCTCCATTGAGGAGTTGTAAAAGAGCATAACGAATGTGCTGTCTAATATGAGCACCGCTAGATCTTTCTTCCATCGTGTCTTTATTTCAGGGAAATTTTGCAATTTTGAGCAACCACTGAGACAAAGTTTCTTTAGGAATTTAATCTCAGAAAGGTCAAATGGAAGTATTTTGAGGGAAGAACACTTCGAGAGATCTATGAAACAGAGCTTCTTGAGACTTTGAAAGTTTAAGGACACACCTCCAATGAGTTGTATATGCAATTCATCATATTCTTATTAGCTATTATTAGCCACTTCGTTTTCTCCATCATATCTCTCAATTATCACATCTAAGTTTTACGTCAACTAAAAGTAAGATCAAATTATAATATATAAATAAATTGTAAAACTCACGTTACAAATCGATTTTATCGATTAAGTTAGTCTCAAAAGTCCACCTTCTAATACATCGAAACTTCATTTGCCTAAAACGGGGTATTAAGAAAGTGCCTGGTCGATTCTCTAGTTTCACATAAGGAATCCTGGTTGAAAACATTTCAAGATTCCAACACGAGAAAAGAAGAATGAAACCTGGTGATATGGATACAATATTGTTGGGAACAATTACACTTTTGCGATTATAACATCTATCTAAACGTAAACAACTAAGCTTGCTGAGTAATATGGAAGAGTGAACTTTATATTATATGCATGTATCAACAGTTTACCTTTATTTATCTTTATCTCGTCTCTCTTCTTCTTTCTAATAAAAGTATATTGTAAAAATTTAAATGAGAATGACATCACTCTTATAAGAACAAACTGACAAAGTGAGTTAAAATTGAACCTTATTGTATGTTAATGTTAAGTGATGCAGATACATAATTTATTATAGGTTATATTGAAGTTATATGATAATAAAAAAAGTTAGATTAATTACGTTTAAGTCTTTAATAAATTTAAATTTATTTAATTATGTGAGTATTCAAATTTTTTTATATTTTCTAATTAAGATATTAAATTTATATATTTTACTTGTTTAATTTTTCAATTAATTATATGATATGAATGTTATTTTGCTTATATGTCAACATATTAATAAATAAAATTAATAAAAAATTCACTAAAATATTTAAATTTATAATACCACTTAAATTCAAGTATAATTGACATAAATGAACAATAAATAAACTTATATAAGACATTAAAATAAATTTTTTAATCAAAATTTTGAGGTAATAGATTTGAGTTCTTATATGTTTTCTATCTTATTTATTTCTATACAATATAA